GGCAGGCAGAACGGTTGAAATGAGAGCAAGGTGAGGTTCATGGGGCCGTTGTGGTGGAGATCAAGATGGGGGGTAAGGGCCGCACCTTGGCTTGCCAAAAGTTGGAAAACTGAGCGAGACCCAGCGTGATGCTCTCACGAATCCGCGCTGGCGTGCCCACTTCCGTGGCCCACCCAATAAGAATATCAACAATGTCCTACAAAGGGTTTGATGATGACGGGCAAGGTGACAAAGATGACTTTGAAACCGAACCTTGGTCTGCGCTCACACATAAAAGAACAGGCAGGCTCGGACAGGTACACAGGTGCTCAGCAACACACAGGCGGCACAAGGCCACTTGGACCAGCGACGCACACACACGCACAAACGCAAGCTGTGAAACGCTGAGCCAGGTCAGATGCGGACGAGCACTGACCTCAAACTTGGGTACATACGCAGTGGGGTTGTCCTGGACCAATTGGCGAAAAATCTCGACAATAGCCGGCAGGCAGAGCGGGGACTGAAGACGCTGAAGGTAGGCTCGCAACGTGTTGACGCAGACGGGCATAAAACTCGCTGCAGAGAGGTCATTGGTCAACATTGGGGTGATGAGGATGGCCCTTAGCGTCAGGGCGGCCGACTCACAAGGATGTGGGGGCCGGGCTTGGGGACATCAACAAACCGAGTGTTTTGCCATGGTCAGCTTCTAGAGCCACGGAGAGAGAGAAAAGGATCGGAAGGGCATCGTCTACCCTGAGATCGTTTGAAAGAGTGGTGTTGAACCAAGCAAAGTAACTGACAGCGTGTGGACCTGGAGCAATATTCGTGTGCGATCAAGCGGTGGATGAGCACAATGGCGCGGAAATGGAAAAAAAAAAAAAAAAAAAAAAAAAAAAAAAAAAAAAAAAAAAAAAAAAACCGGAGTCGGCCTGAAAAGGAGCGGGAAAAAAGGACCTAGGCGTTGAGCAAATAGACCGATGGCTTTTGCGGCTGAAAGGCAAAAACTGGCAGGCGCATCCGCTGAAACAGTGCGTTGCATTAGAGCACCCAAATGACGCAGCATATTTTCAAAGAGGCTGCTGAGGTCCTTGGCCGGAGTAATGTCCAGGAGCTGACGTAGCTCGAGAAGAGCAGCCAGCCTGTGATCTGCAGCGAGTGAAGGCTTGGAAGCCACGGATAGCGCACGGTGGATGGCGGCAATCGGAGAAGTGCCCTTGCCTTTATGGGTTCCAGGTCCACGCCGGGAGCTGGCAGTTTGTGGGCCATCATCCTTGTTAGCGCGTCGATTTCCACCATGAGAAGCTGAAGCAGCCATGTTGTTTGAGCTGCCTTGAGGTGCGGGCAGCGTGAGGGGACTAGCCGAGGCCTCGGAGGAGGCCTCGGACCCCCGTGAGCCACGGCCACGGCGAGCGTTGCCTCGTGGCTCACGCCCTCGACCATCTTGGCCCTCGGCATCAGTAGCACCACCACCACCATGACCTCCGCGACCACGGCCACGACCGCGACCACGACCGCGACCACGATTGCCTCCCGTCATGGCCGGGGAAGGTGTGACTCCAGACAACACCAGTGCTGGAGCAACCGCGCGTGAATCATTAGCTCGTGGGCCTGGAACCTAACGGTCCGTAGCTGCTGACCAACTTCGGACGCCAGGCCTACGAGGGAAACCAGCCAAGGAAGGAAAAGGGAGCGCGACGAGAGCGCAAGGGTCAAGAATGATTCAGCTAGTCCGTGCTGCTCCAGCAGCACCGATCAAACGCGCATGAAGCCAGGCAACCGTCCTCACTCCACCTGTCTCCCACGCCTCGAGCACGCTCACTGACCGAATACCGCGCGGGCGCGGGCGCGTGTGTGTGTGTGTGTGTGTGTGTGTGTGTGTGTGTGTGTGATGCCAGGATCAGATCAAAGCAGATGGATCCGTCGACGTCGCCTTTGGCGCGTTGAGCGCTCAACGGTCTTCTTCTTCTTCTTAAAAAAAAAAGTGCTGCCATGAATGTGACCGCATGTCACTGTGTGTGAGAGAGAGAGAGAGAGAGAGAGAGAGAGAGAGAGAGAGAGAGAGAGAGAGAGAGAGAGAGAG